CTCTAGTTCCCTCTCTCCCCATTGCTTTGCCTCCAGCCCTTTGTGTCATCAAGATGTGGTCAGTGTGGGACGGCTCCAGATCCGGGCCCTGGCCACTCCTGGCCACACACAAGGCCATCTGGTCTACCTGCTGGATGGGGAGCCCTACAAGGGACCCTCCTGCCTCTTCTCAGGGGACCTGCTCTTCCTCTCTGGCTGTGGTGAGTTTCCCCCGAAAGAGGAGAGAGTGGAGAGAAGTTGGGACAGAGACAGGACAGCTGTAGTCCATGTCACACATGAAAGTATTGGTTACAACGTGTATGTTGCTTTTGTGTCACGCAATTTTTTTCGTTTGTTTTTTCTTGATACTGGTACCCATGGGCACTTTGCCACTGAGCTACATCCCCAGCCCTTTTTATTTTGAGACAGGGTCTGCCTAAGTTGCCTTGGCTGGCCTTGAACTTATCACCCTCCTGCTTCAGCCTCCCTAGTCGCTAGGATTACTTACAAGCACCATTGCACCTGGCACCCAATTGTTTTTTATATCCTCCAGACTTTCCACGGGGGATGGACAGGCCTTCCACAGGGGATGGACAGAAGAGAAGATCCTACACCTGAGCAAAGACCTCAAGGGGCACTTATTGTCACTGGGTGGGGCCTGGCTCTCTGAACAGTGACTAGAGGGATTAGGTTGTGGAAAGCTGAGGACCCCTAAGTGAGGGGAGATCTATAGACAGGTGGCAATCCCATGTCTTAGGCTGCAGAGTCCCAAAGGGCAGCCAGGCAAAGAAGCCCCCCATGGAAAAGAGCAGCCCCCCACCTCCCCAGCTTTGGCCTCAGGAGGGAGGCCAACCTGAAGGTTCTGCAGCCCCCTCCCTCCAGATGCCACTGTGTGCATGGAGCCTGGCCTTGGGCAGGGTGACTGACAGGCCCAGTTCTCAGTGGGAAGAGGGAGCTAAATTCCTGGAGGTGGGTGGGAGGGGCATGGCTGAAGGACTGGTGGCTGGCCAGAGCTTCCAAGTTGGTCCCCAGCCCTCTTCAAGTACCATATCCTGTGTCATCCTGTGCCCTTGACCCCACCAGGACGGACCTTTGAGGGTACCGCAGAGACCATGCTGAGCTCGCTGGACACTGTGCTGGGGCTGGGCGATGACACCCTCCTGTGGCCTGGTGAGGCACCTTTCCCCTTCTCTCTAGCCCCACACTGGTCCTGGCACCAGGGTGCTCCACCCCTTCAGTCCCCTGGAGCTGGAGCCAACCCAGCTTCTGGCCCAGGGACAAAGGGTTCTGCGTCCAGGGGTGGGGCAGGCTCCGCCTCCCTTCTTCAGGAGTGCAGTCCTGGCTCCTTAAGGTTCTGCTTGTCACACCGCCATCCCCACCAGCCAGCCCTTGGCCTTGGGAGCCCTGCAGGACCCAGAGCATTTCAAGGAGATGTCTAATTGTTCATAGCCAGAGTCCAGAAAAGTTAGTAAACACATCCCGCATGTATCCATTGCCTTGTATTTTTATAAAAACATTCACAAGTATTAATTCTCAGAACATAGATTCATTCATTTGACGGTACTTAATGTGCACCTGACATGAACTAAGCTCTGTTCTAGGCACTGGGACCCCAATGGTGACATCTGTGCCCTGTGGCATTAGTGTTTTCTCTACTTGCCAAACTAGAAAACTCTGGCTCATTGACTGAGGTTACATGCTGGGCAGTGGCAGAGTGTCCTCCCAGCTCCAAGCCTAGTGGTGTGTGTCTCACGGCCCCCCAGCCTCTGCCTCTTGCTCCTGACTGACTTGTGCCCACAGCTGGGAAAGCAGGCCCCGCGGGTGGGTTTCCTGGAAGCCCGCCTTCCTCCCTGGTTGTTGGGTAACCATAGGCCTGGGGACAGGGAGGACTTTTTCTGGCCACACCACTGATCTGCCTCATGCCTCATGGCTCTGCCAGGTCACGAGTATGCAGAGGAGAACCTGGGCTTCGCTGGCGTGGTGGAGCCCGAGAACCTGGCCCGGGAGAGGAAGATGCAGTGGGTGCAGAGACAGCGGATGGAGCGCAGGAGCACGGTGCGGAGCTCGGGAGCCCTTGGGACGGCAGCCCAGGGGACGGCGTGGGCACTCAGCCCATCCTGAGCCTGATACTGAGACGGGGCTGGGGACACCTCCGCAGAGCTCTGGCCTGTCCAGTCAGAACTCTTGGACCCCAGGATGGGTGGGGGCTGGGGCAGCCTTCCTTTGTTGGGTCCCTTTTCCAGCCTCTGTCCATCCAGCCTGGTGCCTCTCACCCTACAGTGCCCGTCCACCCTGGGAGAGGAGCGCTCCTACAACCCATTCCTGAGGACCCACTGCCTGGCACTGCAGGAGGCTCTGGGGCCAGGCCCGGGCCCCACAGCAGACGAGGGCTGCTCCCGGGCCCAGCTCCTGGAGGAGCTCCGAAGGCTAAAGGACACGCACAAGAGCAAGTGATGCCCCCAGTCCACCCCAGCCAGCCTCCCTGCAGTGGGGAGGCTGCCCGTCACCTGCACATCACTGTCCTCCTCATGGCTACCACCACCACCTCCACCTGCGCCCCCAGTGGGCATCGTCCCCTCCCCACTGGTCGAGGGGAGGGGAAGGGCAAGGTGATGAGATCAAGAGTGGCCAAAGGCTGGGAGACCCCACAGAGTGAGGCTGGTCATCAAGGGTGACAAGAAAGGAAGGACGTTGGAACATCTCCAGACCCTGCTTACTAGGAGGTCCCTCTCTGTTCCTGCACTCCTGGGCCAGCAGGGAAATGTGGAGGCTACTGTCAGCCCCTTCCCCAGGAGGCCTGGCTTTCACTGTAGCCCCAGACTAGGGCAGCAGGAACCATGACCAGGCTAAGTCCATCTTCTGCCTTTGCCCCATCAAGATTGAGGGACAGACTCTTCCCAGTAAAATGGTGTCAGGTATGGTGCCTTGGGAAAGTGGTCACTGCAAGGCTACCTGCTCTGGGTCTCTAGGCCTCTGCCCCTCCTCCCAGCCTCTCACCCACCCTACCTTGCCAAGGCCTTTGCAGGCAGAGCCATTCCAGAACCCCAAGGGCCTGGAAGTCTGTCTCTAATCTCAGCCTCCGTGGGCCCCCCAGCAGCCTAGAAGCAGGAGGGTCCTGGTTGCCAAGGAAACCTCTGCCTTAGGCTGAGGAGACCCCGGATGCTGAGATGCAGAGCCTGACCGCCTGGCCAGCCACAGCTCCCTACATATCTGGCCTGGGCCTGTCTGCTGGCCTCTGCCCCTGCCGTGGGCCCCAAGGGCTTCCCAGAGGAGAGAGAGCCACAGTCTGCCTCTGTCAGTGCAGTTCCCTCCTTTTGGCCCTTGCTCTTGGGAATTTCTGCCTGCCTTCTTCTATCTAACTTAATCTCTTTTGCTGTATCCTCAACCCCTCTCCTCTTTTGAATTTGTAAGGATTTGGTTTGGGGCCCTGACATTCATCTTGGCAGTTTGCCAAGAACTTCCATTCCCGTGATTCCCACTGGCCCCTTGGCCCCTCCCTGGCAGGGAGGAGGGCTCTGCAGCAGAATGCAGAAGTGTGGGAGCCTTGGAGGCCTCCAGGGCCCTGGGCTGGGCCCTCACCCTCTGCTCCCCCCTCCTCTAGCTCTGCTTCTCCTCTAGTCTCGGGTCCAGGTCCCTTTGGGGCCTAGAGAGGCACCCTGTGGTCCTCCAGCAGGCGTACCTGGGGTCAGCCAGGAGCCTTCTCTTCAAGTGTCAAAGCCTTGCCTCGGGCTCTCCTCACCGCTCAAGACCTTGAGATGCCCCCTACCCTCTCTTTCCCCTCCCCATCGGGCCTCCCTGCCCTCTGCAGCCACAGCCCCTGGAACAACTCTAGCAATACCACCAGACTGGTTAGCAGTCTGCGCCCGAGACACAGTTTCATGCCTCTGTGCCTTCGCTCACGCTGTTTCTTTGAACCGGAATGCCTTCCCCCGCTCCCCTGCCTCAGCTGCCTGGCAAACACCTGTTCATCTCCCCCAGAGCCCCCCCCCCAAGGCACCCATGCTCCTCCTCCCCAGGCTACCTCTGCACTTTGTAAATGCTTCTCTCTCTCTCTCTCTCTCTGTCTGTCTCTGTCTCTCTCTCTCTCAGCACTTATCATACCCTATTTTACTTGTTTACATGTTTGTCTCCCCTTCTAGACTGTGAATCCTTAAGGGCATGGACTGTATCTTATGCATCTCTGTATTTCTGCGCCTAGCACGGTGCCTGGCACAACAGTAGGCGCTCAATAAATGTTGAATGAATGAATGATTTAACTAAGGTCTGACTACTCAATGACTTGTCTTTACTGCTGTGTGAGTGAAGACAGCAGAGAACTTTCTAACCATTTTCCCGACTCAGTTCCAGGTCCTATAACTTGGGGTTGCTACCTTTGAAAAACTTTGGTCAGAAATGGCACCCTAGGGCTGGGGCTGTAGCTCAGTGGCAGAACACTTGCCTAGCACGTGAATGGCACTGGGCTCAATGTTTAGCATCACATAAAAATAAACAAATAAAATAAAGGCATGCTGCCCATCTACAGCTAGGAAAAATGTTTTAATTAAAAAAAAAAAGGAGTGGGACCCTAAATGTATTCTTTCCACAACCCGTATGCATTTGTTCAGGGTTTATAATTTGCTTACTTCAGTGTTTTCCAAACCCTGAGATGCACAGGTGGACCACAGGGCAGGGTGGTGGGGGGCGTGACTACACATGATCACAGCACTTCAAGGGCACAGCCTTTTTTTTTTTTTTGTACCAGGGATTGAACCCAGAGGTGCTTAACCACTGAACCACAGGGCCTCGCTAAATTGTTGAGGCTGGTCTCCAACTTGAAATCCTCCTGCCTCAGCCTCCTGAGTTGCTGGGATTACAGGAGTGAACCACCACACCTGGCTCTAGCCTGTCTTTACACCGCTGTGAAAAGAAAGATCCAGACTGCAGCTCCACGCCTTAATTGAATACCTGTCTCTAATTAAACTTTAGCATCATCTTTGTATTTCTCTTTGGGGCCAATATTTACTTTTGACAAGTGACACTAATTTGATTGTAGATATTCATTGAAATGGGAAAACAAAAGAAAAAGTGAAACTTGGCTATGGCCAAACTGAAGGTAGGAATGAAGACAGGAAGCACTGGCTTAGTGACACACGTTCTTGGCCAGCCTAGAGCACAGATTCCCCCCTGGTCATAGTTCAGCCCCCTCTTAGGATCCCTCACCCCAGGCCAGGGACCCTGGCACTGGCTCTGGCCGTCCTGAGTCAGGCTGGGTTGGGATGGGCCACAGTCTTTGCCTCCTAGAGAAGGTGGCTCTGTGTACTCAGGGACGTGTCTGGCTTGCTGCTCTCTGGGCAGGTGAGGACCAGGCTCTGGACTCTGCAGGTCACTCTGGGGATGCTCAGCTTCACATCTTCAAAGAGCCTTTGGTGGCGGGTCTCTGGGCTGGTGAACACTTTCCCAGGGCCTGGGACCTCTCCCACCTGGCTGTCTGTCCTGAAGGATGGAAGATGCGTGCCTCTCCTGAAGCTGGCACTGCCCAGTAACAATCACACCGCGTGTACCTGCTTATAGGACAACAGGTGTCACTCACCTTCAAGGCCTGGTACCAGTCCTAGTTCTGTCACTCAGCCTCCCAGTGACCACGGGCAGGTCAATTCCCTGTCCTGTTTCTTCACTTTTCAGTGGAGAGGACACAGTGAGTTAGAATCCTTTTAGGTACAAGTGTCAAACACTCAATACAGAGTAGCTTAACCCGAAAGGAGAATCTGGAGAGGAACAGCCTCCTGACTGCTCAGGTGGGAAAGCAAAACGTGGAGAAGCGCAGGTGGATCCAGGGATTCAGAGTGTCTTCCTTCAGCTCTGCTTTCTTCTCCATTAGTGTCACCCTCTGTCAGGCGTTCTCCCTGCAGTGGAAAGACGCTAAGTTACAGCCTTACAGGACTCTACTTCACCACACCATGCAGAACCTCCAAGAGTCCCAGGGCTTGAGTTTCACTGCTCCAGCTTGGGTCATGGGCCCAACGCTGAAGGAATCATAGACCTTAGGAGAATGGGCTTCTCTCATTGTCCAGGACAGGTCATCTGACCACATCCACAGGGACTGCATCAGCCCCACTGTGCCACACTGAACCAGAGGTCAGGGGCAAAGGAAGAAGGGGTCTGATCTAGAAATGATGCAAGATAGCGAAATCATAAATCTTCATTCAAATTCCATTTATCAATGGGCTTGGTGGTTCATGCCTGAAATCCCAGCAACCCAGGAGGCTGAGGCAGGAGGATCACAAGTTTGAGACCAACCTCAGCAATTTAGCAAGGCCCTGAGCAACTTAGTAAGACCCTGTCTCAAAATAAAAAAAAAAATTAAAAGTGCTTGGGGATGGAACTCGGTAGTAAAGAGCACCCGGGTTCAATATCCAGGACCCACCTTTAAAAAAAAAAAATCATGCCACCTATCAGAGGCTATTATGAGGATCAGATGGGGAGAGGCATATGAAGTCACTCTGAAAAAAATGCTACATCAGATTTCTGGTGCTATGATTAATTATAGAAGGGAAAAATTTAAATCCTATTTTTTTAATTGTCAGCTTTACTGAGATAGTCACATAACAGAAAATTCACCTTTTTAAGTATATAATTCAGTGGGTTTTAGTATATATAGAGTCTGTGATCATCACCATAATCTAATTTTACAACATTTTCCTTATTCCAAAAGAAACCCTGTCCCCATTTGACATCCTGCTCAGTTTCCACACCCCACCAAGACCCAGCGCTATGGAACTACTGACTACTGTCTGTCTCTACAGATTTGCCTTCTAGGCAGTTGATATATGGAATCAGACAATCTGTGCACTTTTTCTGGCCTCTTCTGTCCCACGTGTTTTCAAGGTTCATCCATGTTACCGCATTTAGCAGTACTGTGTTTCTAGCCACGTGAGGCTGAGGCAAGGGTAATCCATTGAGCCTTGTGGGCCAGCCTGCATAACATCTCAAAAAAAACAAAAAAGGAAAATAAAATTAAAAGCAATACATCATTCCTTTGTATAGCCAAACAACATTTTTTTAATGTGGGTATGCATTTAACATGTATATCCATTCGACAGTTTATCCATTTTTATCCATTCCACAGTTGAAGGGGAGTTGGGTTGTTTCTACTTTGGGTCCATTAGGATGGTCCATTAGGAACAATGTCGTAAACATTCGTGAGCATTTTTTTTTTTTAATGTTTTGTTACCAGGGATTGAACCTAGGGGTGCTTAACTCCTGAGCCACATCCCCAGCCCTTTCAATTTTTTTATTTTGAGATATGGTCTTGCTAAGTTGTTTTGAACCTGTGATCCTCCTGCCTCCCAAGCTTCTGGGATTGAAGGCATGTGCCACCATGCCTGGTGATGTACAAATTTTTCTATCGAAAATATTTTCAGTTCTCTTGGTGATATACTTAGAAGTAGAATTGCTGACTCTTTGAGGAACTGCCAGACTGCTTTCCAAAGCAGCTATAAGTTTCCTTAATATCACTGACCTTGCCTTATGTGAGGAGAGTTATTCAAAATTTACTTTGGTGCTGGGTGTGGCAGTACACGCCTGTAATCCCAGCCACTCAGTTGGCTGAGGCAGGAGGATTGCAAGTTTAAGGTGAGCCTCAGCAATTTAGGAGACCCTGTCTCAGTGAAAAAGAAAAAGGATTGGAGACGTAGTTCAGTGGTATGAACACCCACGGGTTCAATCCTCAGTATCATACACAAATTTTTTTTTCCTTTGGCTTTTAAAAATTTATACTCAGGGTTGGGGGTGTCATTCAGTGATAAACCACTTTCCTAGTATATTCAAGGGTCTGGATTTGATTCCCAGCACCACCAAAAATAATTAATACTACAAATAAAAATACTCAGCTTCTTAAAATGCAAATTTAAAAAAACATAAGTATTTTTTAAACTTTTAAACTTAGCAGTCATATTGTTCTAACTATAAGTCTGGCAAATGTTAATATTTTTTCTTTTCTCTTTGTTACCAGAGATTAAAACCAGGATTGCTTTACTACTGAGCCACATTCTTGGTGATTTTTATTTTTTATTTTGAGACAGGGTCTGGCTAAGTTGCTTAGGGCCTCACTAAATTGCTGAAGCTGGTCTCAAACTTTCAATCCTCCTGCCCCAGACTCCCCAGTCTCTGGGATTACAGGTGTACACCACCTACTTTTTATTTTTGAGACAGGGTCTTGTTAAATTACCGAGGCCAGGCGAGGTGGCACACACCTACAATCTCAGCAGCTTGGTAGGCTGAGGCAGGAGGATGGAGAATTCAAAAATAGCCCTCAGCAATTTAGTGAGACCCTGTCTCAAAATTAAAAATAGAAAGGGCTGGGGATGTGGCTCCATGGGTTCAATCCTCAGTACAATAAAATAGGCTTGCCTTGAACTTGTGATCCTTTGCCTCAGTCTCCCCAGTTGCTGGGATCTATGATCCAGTGTGGTATGTGCCACACTCTCCAGCTCTTTTTTAATCTTATAATGTTTGGTCCTTTTACAATCTCAGTAAGACTTTAAATAAAAGTCCAAGTCTAAATCAATTATTCAATTGAAGTATATATTTATTAATTTTCTTTTTATATACATACTTTTTTTAGTTGTAGTTAGACACAATATCTTTATTTTACTTATTTATTTTTATGTGGTGCTGAGGGTCAAACCCAGTGCCTCCCGCCTGCTAGGCGAGCACTCTACTGCTGAGCCACAACTCCAGCCCCTTAATTTTCTTTTTATTTATTTTTTATTTTTGCAGTACTGAGGACTGAACCTAGGGGCACTCCACCACTGAGCTACATATTCTTAGCTCCACTCCCTGTTTTGTTTCTATTTTTGTTTTTGTGGTACTGGGGATTGAAGCCAGGGTCTTGCGCATGCTAGGTAAGCACTCTTCCACTCAGCTATATCCTCAACCCCCCACCCCTTTTCTTATGTTTTGTTTTGAGTCAGAGTATCACTAATTTGGTCAGGCTGGCCTTGAACTTGCCATCCTTCTTCCTCAGCCTCCTGATTCACCGGGATTACAGGCATGCTCCACTATATCTAGCAAGAGTTCCTTGAATTGCCTCTGTAATTCCACTGATTTGGGAGGCTGAGGCAGGAGGATGGCAAGTTCAAGGCCAGCTGCATCAATTTAGCAACACCCTCTCTTAAAACTAAAATAAAGCTGGTTGGAGATATAGCTCAGAGATAGAGCGCCCATAGATTCAATCCCCAGTACAAAAAAATAAATAAATAAATAAATAAATAAAGGAAGGAAGAAAGAAAGAAAAAAAAAAAAAAACAAACATAGTTTAGCAATGCAGTCTTCTGTGGAGTATCCTTGTTCCCTCTCATGATCCAGGGGCTGACTGGGAGCCAGGGTTCGCTGACACTACCCAGCATCTAGAGAGAAGATCTTATGGCCTATCACTAGCCCAGGAAATCACACTCAAACTTCAAAGTATGGTTTCTACTGAAGACAAATGGTTTCACCTCTTTGTATGTAAAGTCAAACCTGGGCCAGGTGTGGTGGTGCACACCTGAAAACCAGTGGCTCAGGAGGATTAGGCAGGAGGATCACAAGTTCAAAGTCAGCCTTAGCAACTAGGGAGACCCTGTCTCAAAAAAAAAAAAAAAATGCTGGGGATGTGGCTGAGTGGTTAAGTGCCCGTGAGTTGTTATAAATAATAATAATAATAATTGTTATTTTTAATTAATAAAAGAATAATTATTAATTAATAAAAGAAAAACCTGATAAAATGAGGCATCACAAGCTGGGGGCCATCGTATTAGGACTACAACTTGCAGAGCTCTTTAGGCAACATGGAATTGGGTTCTGCGATTGTGAGACTCCTGGCCCACGGCCACAACTTCTGAAGTTCTTTAATGATCCATTTCTTCCCCTGCCTCTTAAGAATGTCAAATGCTCCCCCTGCTGGACAAAGCTTCAGGCTTGGGCTGAGCACCAGAGCCTGCGTGGTCAGACTTTTCCTCCAAGGTCAAGGTGTAGTGAAGGGGCCCTTTAAGAGGCGGCAGCTAGTCCGGTTGCCAGGGAGACGGCTGGACACAGACCCGCTGGCTGCAGACAGCATGTCTTCCAAAGTTCACTCCTCAGGTGGGACGAGGGCGGCTGGGTGGAAGCGGGTGGGGGCTCTTTTCCCTTACAAGCCCCTCCAGGGTCGTCCTGGTGGACTCAGTTCTTGGGGACAGAGGCTGGGACTGGGGGACTCCTGCCCGCCCCGCCCTTCTCCCCAGGGGTTGCCATCTTAGCCTCTCCCCCGCAGTCGCCAAAGGCAAGGACCACCGGCCCTCAGGCCAGGAGCGTCAGCCCCTCCCAGAGGCCAACGCTGAAGCCATCGACTTCCTCAACTCCCTCCGTGAGCCCAGACAGGGGCGAGGGGACCGAGTCTGGGAGGAGGCAAGGGGACAGGCCCGGACGGTCCCCACCTCTGTCAGCTCCGTTCTCCTAGAACTAAAATGGGCGCAAGGCCTGTTGGCTGACGTTGGAGGGATGCGAGGGGGAGAGGGGTCTTCAGCCCCGGCTCCTGCGGACGGCAGTGGGGAGGCGGCAGGGGGGAGGCGGGACAAGCTGTGAGGACTCCAGGGCTGATCAGTCCCCACCCGCCGCCCCACCCAAGAGCCCGAGGAGCTGCAGATGCTCTTCTTCTCTGAGACTCTGGCCATGGTCTCCGACACCGGAGAGCCTCGGGGAGAACTGACCATCGAGGTGCAGAGAGGGAAATACAGGGACGAAATGAGCATCATGTCCCAGTGCATCCTCGTGCACGCCTTTAGCCACGGCCTCCTGGATAAAACCGTCTGTGGAAACTCGCTCCTGGGTAGGGTTCCGGCTGCTGATGTCACCCCATCCTTCCAACCCCGCCACCCCTTCCATTCCCAGCCTCTTTATTCAGGACCTACCTCTTGATGAGACATGGGGGAGGGGCCACTGGGCGGTTATTCACAGACACAGGAGCAGCACTGACCCACCCCCTAGTTTTCCTGGGGCCACATCACACCTAGTCCTCCAGCCTGGGCCCACCCTCCTTCCCTTCCTTCCATCTTGGGCCCATGTCTCCTGTGACATTAAAGTTTGTACCTGCACCCCAGGCTATCTCTCCCAGACTTTGGAGACCATGGAACAACATAGTCGAGAGTTCATCAAGGTACTTCCTGGGGTCCTGTGTCATGCCCCTGACTGACAATGAGAGAACAGAGAATCTGAGGGAAGGAGGGATCTCCCTCACCCTGTCCCCGCCGCCCCCCCCCACACACGCACACTTGAAAACCCACCCATCCAGGATGCTGAGGTCAGCTGTGGTGGCTGCTGAAGATGTCCTCCTGATGCACAAACTGAACCCAGCCCCACTTGGTTCTCCTCTAGCCTACAGCCCAGCATCTCCTGGAGGATCATGGGGGCTGGCCTTTCCCAGGGCCTAGCTGGTCCCTAGGATCTGTCACCATGTGGCCTCCAAACCCTCTGGCTCTGTGCTCCTCACCCCCAGCTTCGGCCCCCTCACTAACTTCTAGAACCTGCCATGACTGTCTACACAGTGGAAACCACTCATACCTAGAACAGTTCCACAGAGTCGTTCCCATGTTTTAAACCTGTGTTCTGAGGTGCCCTGCTTTTTAGCTAGTATCACACCATCCTATGGCTGCTGTTCATGAGCTTGGCCATATATGGAAGGATTTTCTGGTTGGTTGTATTTTAAATCAAAACCTTTAAATCTCAGTTTTCTCATTTATAAAGGAGAATAGACAGGTGACCTCTGGGGACCAAGGAGTCTCTGATTCTCCACCACATGATCTGACCCTTAGTTCCTCATCCTCCCCATGGAACACAAGATGAGTCTGCTGAAGCAGAATGACCAGCTGGCCATGACCAGAAGCATCAAGGAGGGTGAGGTAAGGGTGAGAGCCAGGTGGGCACCACCCTTCACCTCCTCCTCAGAACCACAAGCACAGAGCTGGTGGCGTGAGGCCAGGAGTCTAGACAGAGGACACCCCAAGGACCCACACCCATAAATGCTTTGCCCACCCTGCCATCCCCTTCCTGGCTGGCAGTTCTTGACCCAGATCTGTCCTGAGCAGGAAGTGAAGACTGGTGTGGCCTTCTTCCCCTTGCACTCAATTACTGGCTTCATCTCCGAAGCTGCCAACCTGGTGCTGTTGAGGTTGATGGCTCGAAGGCAGAAGGTCCCTCAAAATGCCCGCTTCCTGGCCTTGGACACTGAGGGCAAACTCTGCTACTCCACCTATGTGAGGGCAAGGGATTTGGCCTGGGGACAAACTAGAAGGGACATGAGGGATGCTGGGCTGGGGTGCAGGATAGCTATGGAGTGGAGAGGGAGTTGGGGTGGGGATAAATCAGGAGGGTGGGAATGAGATTTCTGAGGGCAAGAGAAAGCAAGAACTGATGTCAGGTGCTGGGGCGCATGCCTGTAATCCCAGCGGCTCAGGAGGCTCACAAATCCAAAGCTAGCCTCAGCAACTCAGTGAGGCCCTGAGCAATTTAGCAAGACCCTGTCTCAAAGACAAAAAAAAATAAATAAATAAAAAGGGCCGGGATGTGGCTCAATGGTAAAGCACCTTGGGTTCAAATCCCTGATACCAAACAAACAAACAAACAAAAACAAGATCAAGTGGAGGGGGGCAGGTGAAATGAGTTCTACAAAAAGTGGGAGCAGTTGAGCAAAACAACCTTTTGCAGAAAAGCCAGTCTTCAAAAGTCAGTACAGCAGAGGGATGCTTTTAAAGACATGTCATCCAGGGCCCAGCACATGCTAGACAAGCACTCCCCTGCACCCCCAACCCAAAGACACATCATTTTTTAGCTTGGAGAAATGCAGTTTTTCCCACTTACTTAAATATTAAGTGAGAGGGTTCCTTTTTTCTTTGATTTTGGCTAGAAGTTCACAACACACCTGGGACCTCCTGCACTACATGCTTTTACAGCTGCCCTCTGAACACACACTAGTTCCAGCAAGACACTTTGGGGGTGGATCTGTCTGTCTTTGACTGACCTCCTAAGTTACCTTCTGTCTTGTCCATCACAAGCACACAAGCAAGCGCGTGCCACAACTCCCATTTTCTTTGAAACACCTGTTTAATGTTAGCGCTCGACTCTCCATGGCAGCAGCTACATTGGTTTAAGTTTCAACTGTGATAAGGCAGGCTGCCAGCAGCTGCGTGGCCTGAGGCCATCACAGATCTGTCCTGCCTCTCTCCTCACAGCCTTGCTACTTCCCCAGTTGGCCCCCAAAGCTTGCATCTCCTCCTCGCCTTCCCCATACTGACTGACCCTCATCCCTATAACAGAATCTGCCAACCACAACACTTGGCACAAAGATGGCATGGCAGGGGCCAGGGGCCAGCTGAAGCTGGTTCTCTGGGAGAAGGCCCAAGTTACCTGGGGGTTACAACTCAAATCTTGTGGCACCTGACGGTGTGGACAGCCAAGAGTTGCTAATCACTGGTGAACAAGGAAAAAAGGAGGAGGAGGAGGAAGGATCAGGCTGAGAGCGGGGAGACCCTGGTGGCACCCACCTCACCACCCTCCCTTCGTTTTGGCTGCTGCAGCAAGCCCTGGGCTTCCAGAACATCCAGGTGGGCCACCAGCAGTCCGAGGTGTTCATTGTGGAGCACACCGTGCACTCCAACGAGGGTATCCCCATGTCCTGGCAGTTCTACATGCTCTGTGATGGGTGAGCCTTCTCAGGGGTGGACAGTGTCATAGACAAGTTTGGTGCTCAATGATGGGGAAGGGACACGGGCTGGGGATGGAGCAAAGGAGAGACTACATATTCCTGGGGACACCTCCAGTAAGAGTTGTCTTTGAGATCCCAGTGTCCCCTCCACGCCACTCACCCTTTCTTCATTCATGGGCTCCTTCTCCGATGCTCACAGTGCCTCCCAGAACTTCCCACAAATAACCCCAACTGGCTGAGGAAGGAAATGCCAGCCCTGCAGAGCCTATTAGCTAAGGCAGTGGCCGTAGTCGAGGGGAATATTGAGGACACCAGGGTTTTAACTCGACACTTGATTGAATCGGTGCTGGAGCACCCTTGGCATACCACCAAGTGGTCACCAGCAGAGCACTGACACTGAGAAAAACTCATGTGGGGGAGAATAATTTCTTTCTTGAAATTTCAGAAGTATTGATCTAGAAACTTCACTGAAAAAAAGTGATCAATATTTTTGGCTTTCCTTAGTTCATAACTTTTCGTATGTTTCTTTGTATATGTCACCTATGAAGGAGGAGGTGTTTTTTGTTTTGTTTTGTGCTTATACCTTTGAAAGTCTAAGTCTTTTCTTATTGACTTTTTCTTTTTTTAATACCAGGGATTGCTCTACTTCTGAGCTACATCCCCAACCCTTTTATTTTGAGACAGAGTCTCATTAAGTTGCCCAGGTTGACTCAAACTTGTGATCCTCTTGCCTCAGCATCCCGAGTAGCTGGGTTACAGGCATGCACCACAGCACTTGGCTTTTCCATTTACTTATTTTCTATTTATTTCTATTTATTTATTTATTTTTGGGCATCCCTGGGTGGGCTCCATTCACTTATTTTTTAAAAACAGGCACCTGACCCTTCCAAGCCCTGGGCAATTATTTGGAACAGGGAACTCAAAAAGATAAGAGAGAAAGTAGAATTAAATAGAAAAAGGAGCATTCTCAAGGGGGCATTGTGGTTTCTTAGCCAGCTCGGGCTGCCATAACGAAGTGCCACAGGCTGGTTGACTTAAGCAAGAGGAATTTATTTCCTCACAGTTGTGAAGGCTGAAGTCCAAGGTCACCATGCCAGAAGTTGGTTTCTGGTGAGGACTCCCTTCCTGGCTTGTAGATACCTGCCTTCTGGCTGTGTCTTCATGGGCCTTTCTTCCATGTGTGGGTGAATAGAACTCTCCCGTGTCCCTTCTTGTTCTTATAAGGATGTCAATCCTATCTGATTAGGGACCCCTTGAGACCTTATTTAACCATATGACCTCCCTAAAAGCCCTCTCTCTAAATACCATCACACTGGGGCTCAGAACTACAACTTAGTGCTAGTTCCTTCCTGTCCCCAGCAGGTGGTCCAGGAAGGCCCACTCCCTCACCTTCTTCTGTGTTGCCTTCCAGGCACCTGGCTAAGAGGATCCAGGTGGGCTCCCCTGGGTACTGCATCATCACCAAGATGCCCATCTTGAGGAAGGAGGGTAAGTAGAGCCCAGGCCCAAGGCAGCTGGTGGGAGAGGGGAGGAAAGGGGAAGGCAACCAGGATCTGCAGGGTTTGGCCAGCACACTCCACGTGGGATGGGACCGAGCCTGGAAACCAGAGGAGAAACTCTGTCCTCCTGCCCCTGACCCAAGGCAGTTAGGGGCGGGCGTCTTTTGCTAGGAACCCCTCGCAGCAACTCTGCCCTGTGGGCAGAATCCGAGGTTGGTCCTGAGCTTTCTAGTTGACAACGGGAATCCTCTGGGTATCCAAGAAGGTTGGGGTGGGGGTAAGCAGCCTTCCTCCTCCCTCCCCGTCCAGATGTCATAGAGCCAAAACCTGTGTTTGAGAAGAAACCCCTGGAGTGGGAGGAGGACCTGGAGCTCTACTCTAAGTTCCTGGAGAGGAAGGTAAGGAGCCGCAGCGGCCAGTCGGGGGTCCCCCCACCCCGGGCCATGAACCCCCCATTACCGATCTCCCTGTCCCTCCCTCCTTTCCCCCTGCCCCCTCTCGGCTCTGAACCGCACACCCTGGGGGCCCTGCTGGGAGCGGGTGGGGGCTCCTGGCGCGGGTCCCCGGCTCCGACCCGGGCCTCCCCGCCAGGAGGAGCTGCGACTGAGCCACGCCAGCTACCTGCGGCAGCACCCCGAGGCGCAGGCGCTCGTCTCCGACTTCCTGCTCTTCCTGCTGCTGCGCCAGCCCCAGGACGTGGTCACCTTCGCCGCCGAGTACTTCGGCCCTTTTGCGGCAAACCGCCCGCCCTCACCGCCCTTGCGCTCCTCCCACAGGCCCAGCCCTTTCCGCTCGCCGGACCCGGGGGACGCCGCGGGCTCGGGGGCGGGCTGGGCGCACTAGGCTGGCGGGGACCCAGCGGGAAGCGGGGGCGTCGCGGCGGGGCCCCTCGGGGACGCGGGCTGGTCCCGCCCCGGGCGGGCGCGCCGGCCCAGCTGCGGCTTTTGTGGGAATAAACGGGGCGCTCCCGGCGCCGCTGGGCCAGCAGGGACTCCCCCTGGCCCGCGCCTGGTGCCTTTGACCCCACGAGTGGAGCGAGTTTCAGTCTTTCCTCCTAGATGCCGGGCGCATTGTTATCCCCATTTCGCAGATAAGAAAATAGAAGCCTAGCGACTCTTAGAGTTGGCGCGGGAAGCAGGGTGAACCTGGACACTGCTCTTGAAAGCCCGCGCTCTGAGTCTCCAGGTAGCAGACTTGGAGGGGCGGGGTCCTTGGCGCTCAGAATCCTTCTGGATCCCACTAAGCACAGTCGCCCGCCCCAGGAGGGTCTTGAAACACACCTGGCCTCGCTCTACGCCTTTGTGCTCTATCGTCTCCGTGTCCCCACCCACACACAGGAACCCTCAAACGGCGGGGGATCCACAGGCACTGGCTCTCACTAAGTTGCTGAGGTTGGCTTTGAACTTGCAATCCTCCTGCCTCAGCCTCCCGAGCTACTGGGATTACAGGCAGGCACCACTGTGCCAGGCTCGAGGTAGGGGACATGTAAGGTTTTCCAGACAGAGAAAATGGCATGAGCAGAGGGTACCAGCAGGAGAGTGGAACACATCCCACACCACCTTCTGGTAGAAATGGTCTGTGCCTGTGATGTCCAGCAAGGAAGCCACTAGCCAGTATGGGCGTTCTGTACTGGAAATGTGGCCAGTGTGACCAAAGAATTGGAGTTTTACTTTTGATTTAAATTAACTTTCAAGATAGAGTGGCTTCCATATCGGAAGCATAGCTCTAGAGAAGAAATTCTTACCCCAGCTGGAAGTCAGCCCAACAAATACTGCCTCCCTTCACAGACTAGGATTATTCTGGGAACTGGGAGGTCAGCAGTGATAAGACACAGTCCCTGTCATCATGGAGCTTACAGGTAATGTGGGGAGATGGACCCCCCTCCAAAAAAAAAGCATTATTTCTTATGACGTTTCAGACATTTAAAAGCTGAGTCATGGGTAGAAAGTGACTCAGGGGGTTGGAGGATTGAGGGTGGGGACTTCAGGGAAGATCTCTCTAGTGTCTGAGTTGACCTAGGACCTAAATGATAAGGAGTCAGACTGAGGAAAAGCATTCTAGGCAGAGGGAACAGCAAGCACAAAGGCTCTGAGTACAGCATGTTGGGGAACAGAGCACGGAGGCCTGAGGACAATGGGAGCCATGAGTCATGGCGGGTTGGACAGGGCTGGCTCACCGCCAGGCTCCTAGGCCGCAGCAAGTACAAGTGGAGAACCAAGGCGGGCCTGAACACTCCCAGCTATATCCCCAGGCCCCCTGCAGTCGCAGACACCCTGCAGGTGGAGGAAAGGTGAAGAGGCAACTTCCAGCCTCTCTGTCGAGCTCGCCTGCCTGCATTAGGGAACTTAGGAAGGAGAAGTCTGACCACTCCCTGCCTCCTCTGGGACATCCATTGCAAAAGTGGTTTATTTTTAGATCTTATAGTTTGTCCCAGAACTTCTATGACCCCTTCTTTTGCTCCATAATACCAAGAAATTTATAAATATCTCTCTCTCTCTCTCTCTCTCTCTCTCTCTCTTTCTCTCAGTACTGGGGATTGAAGCCAGGGATGCTCTACCAGTGAGACACCCCCCAGCCCTTTTACTTTTTTTATTTTGAGATAGGATCTCACTAAATTGCCCAGGATGGCCTTGAACTTGCAATCCTTTTGCTTCAACCTCTGACCATTTCCTGGGGGGGAAAAAAAAAACCACCTGTTGAGCCCATCTGGCCCAGCACCTGGGCATTCAGTGGTGGGCAAACAGGCCAGGACCCTGCAGGGCACAAGGAGCTCAGAAAGGGAGACACCCTCGTCATCCCGTGGACGAATGTGTAAGGGTAGATCACAGAAGGGGTAAGAAGGAAGCTGGGCGTGGGCTAAGGCAGGAGGATCACAAGTTCAAGGCCAGCCTGGGCAACTTAGTGAGAGCAGGCCCTAAATAAAATTAAAAGGGCTGGGGATGTATCTCAGTTGTACAGCACCCTGGGTTCAATCAGTGCCACAAAATAATAACAATAATAATAAATAAATAATAATTATTATTATTAGTTAATAAATAATAGCAAATAATAATTATAATGTTATTATTAAAATACTTTGTTATTATCATAAAGGGCTAAGAAGGGAACATATACATACAACATGGAAGTGTGCAATTCAAACTTGACCTCGTCTGAGAGTCCAGGGATCAAAGAGAAATAAATAGTAATCATAAGGTGTTGGGGTGTAACTTAGTGGTAGGGGACTTATCAAGCATGCATGAGGCCCTGGGCTCAATTCCACCACTGTAAGAAAATAAATAGTCCTGGTAATAAGCATGAGTCAACAATTCCTGTGATCACAGCATCCCTAGGAGGTGGGTTAGTCCACCTTCTGTTGCTCTAACAAAATGCCTGAGACTGAGTTATTAATAAGGAACAGAGGTAGTTGGCTGGTGGTTTGGAGGCTGGAAGAGCACCTGCATCTGCTTGGCGTCTGGTGAGGCCTTCTGGCCGCATCCTGACATCGCAGAGACCGCAGGCAGCCGCCCAATCTCTCTCTTCCTCTTTTTTGTGTTTGTCTTTGGGTGCGGGGGAGGGTGTGGTGCTGGGGACTAAACCCAAATTAAACCCAAAAGACGCTCTACCACTGAGCGACACCCCCATACACCCTCAGCCCTTTTTATTTTGAGGCAAAGTCCCACTAAGTTGTGGAGGCTGGCCTCCAATTTGCAATCCTCCTGCCTCAGCTTCCTGAGTAGCTAAGACTATCCTTTTTTTTTTATAGAAACCACTGCCCCTATCATGAGCGCCCCACCCTCAGGACCTCATGCTGTCCTAAAGGCCCTGCCTCCAAATGTGTTAACACTTGAACTTGGGCGCATTAAGTTCCTAACACATAAAATTTGGGAGGTACATTCACATCATAGCAGGGCAGGTTCTATTATATCTATTTTACAAATGAGGAAAAGGTCAAGGTCTGAGGCTACACAGAGCAGGGAGTTCAACCCAGAGTGTCCGGCTCCAGGGTTCATGAACTGAGCCATTCTGATAGAAAGACCCAAGTGGCTGCCTCACAGCAGAAAAGGGGCACCTCCTGCTTTAATAATCTAGAGCAGGCTTCACTGGACACTGCCTTTCCCCTTCCCCAGGTGCCTGGAAACTGCCTTCCTCTCTAGAGCATTGCCACCAAGAGCAGGGCATTGTGCCGAGAGAGCACACAACCTTGCCTGGGAGAGACCATGGAGGGCTTCCTGGAGGAGGCCACACCAGGCAAAGGTTGTGGAGGATGTTTCAAGAGAAAGCAGCTTAAGATAAGGCTAGGAGGTTGGAGGGTTGGGAGCACTGAACCTATGGGCTACTACAGGGCTCAGGATAAGCTGATGAAGAGGGAGGGAGCCTAACCAGCATGTGGCCTGCTGTCCCAGACACTGACTCTGGACGTGAGTGAGGCAAAGGCCTGGATGTCCACCTGTTTCTGCAAGTTTCCCTTCCCACAAGAAGCCTTGAAGAGAGCAGGTGAACTAAGAGCAGTGCTACAGGTAGAGCCTGACTCAGTCTGTTCAGTGCTGCTATAACAGATTGCCAGAGGTTGGGTGATTTACCAAGAGAAAAATGTATTTCTCACAGTTCTGGAACCTGGGAAGTCTAATGTCAGGGTGCTGGCATCTGTGGAAGGCCTTCTTGCTACATCACCCCATGGTAGAAGTCAAGAGGGAGAGGGGGAGAGAAAGAATGCAAAAAAAGATGAAGTTGGGGTCTCAAACCCTTTTATAATTGATACTAATTCATTCACAAGCCCCACGAGCTAAACACCTCCCAACACTGTTGCCATGGAGATTAAGTTTCCAGTGCAGGTTTTTTGGGGACCATATTCAAACCATAGCAGAGCCCTAAAGAAGAGTCTCTGGTATTTAACTAGACAACATTAAAACCAGGCTGGTAGTGCTTGGGAAGGTACAGACCTCGTCTTTGGACTCTCTGTCCGTTCTTCCCTTTATTAATCCTCTGGTTAAATCTGCAGTTCCCCTGAAACCAGCACGAAAAACCTGTTCCTGCTCAGTTTGATGGTTTCTCCATTTTGTTTTATGACGCATTGCATCAAGATTGTTCTCTACTGGGGCTGGGGCTGGGGCTCAGTGGTAGAGCGCTCGCCTAGCATGCATGAGGCACTGGTTTGATCCTCAGCAACACATAAAAGTAAAATAAAGTTGTGTCTACCGAAAACTAAAACATAAATATTAAAAAATTCTCTCTCTCTTAAAAAAATAAATAAATAAAGCTATTGTGTCCATCTACAACTAAAAAAGAAATTCTTTAACAGGAATTGTTCCCTACTATTTTAATCATCATAAATACCTCATGTTTGAGATCTTGGCAAGGCTTTGGTGGCTGAATGAGTCCATTCTGGCTGCTATAAGAAAATACCTTAGGCTGGGCGTGGTGGTGCGTGCTATAATCCCAGTGGCTTGGGAGGCTGAGGCAGGAGGATCTCAAGTTCAAAGCCAGCCTCAGTAATTTAGCAAGGCCCTAAGCCACTCAGGGAGACCCTGTCTCTAAATATTAAAAATCTGGGGCTGAGGCTCAGTGGGTAAGCACCCCTAGGCTCAACCCTGGTATCAAAAAAAAAAAAAAAACTGCGTAATTATAAACAACAAATTTATTGCTGACAGTTCTGAAGGCCAAGAAGCACAGACTGAGGCGATAGCAGGTGTAATGTTTGGGGAACGTCTTCTGTGGGGCTGAAGGGCAAACAAGTCCCCTCAATCTCTCATACAAGGGCACAAATCCCTTGTAAATGGAGCCTCATGACCTGATCCCTCCCAGAGGCTTCGTCTCCTATTGATTGGTTTTGTTGGATTTTGTTTTGTGGACCTGGGGAGTGGACCCAGGAGCACTCTACCACGGAGCTACTCCCCAGCCCTTTTCATTTTTTTATTTAGAGACAAAGTCTTAAGAGTCTGAGGTCAACCTTGAACTTGCAGTCCTCCTGCCTCAGCCTCCTGAGTTGCTGGGATTATAGGTTTCACCACTGCACTCAGCAGGAGCTAGGTTTTAAAATATAAATTTTGTGGGGACACAAACATTTAGACAATAACAGTGGGGAAACCTGAGAATCAACTATTAGGAGCACCAATGTGTGTAACATTTGGCATTCCAAAGAACTGACACTGACTGACAACATTTTGGAACTCAGGACTGGGGGTGTAGCTCAGTGGTAGAGCACTTGCCTAGCATGCAGGCAGCCTCAGATTCCACCCCCAAACACAGCCCCTCCAGAATTATTTTTTTAATTTATTTTTTAGTTTTAGGTGGACACGATATCTTTTTTTTTTTTTAATGTGGTGCTGAGGATCGAACTCAGTGCTCCGCGCATGCCAGGCGAGCACACCACCACTTGAGCCACGTTTCCAGCCCCGCCAAAAACTATTTTTTAAGGCTGAATAATATTCCATTTTGTGTATATACCACATTGTATGTTTATCTTGTCATCTGTTAATGGACACTTAGGCAGTTTCCACCTTTTGGCTGCTGTGAACAATGTTGTCAAGAGTATTGATGAAAGAATGTCCCCCCCCACATTTTTTTTTTTTTGGTACCAGGGATTGAACTCAAGTGCACTTAACCAACTGAGACACATCCCCAGCCCTTTTTATTTATTTATTTTTTATTTAGAAACAGAGTCTGGCTAAGTTGCTTAGGGCGTCACTAAATTGCTGAAGTTGGCATGCACCACCATACCCAGCTGTGTCCCTGTTTTCAATACAACCAGGATAGTGACATTGACACGATCCCATTGATCATTTTCAGGTGCCCTTCTTTTTCTTATATTCATGTGTGCGTGCTTGCGTGTGTGTGTGTGTGTGCGTGTGTGCGTGTGCGTGTGTGCATGCCCACATGTGGGTGTAGCGGTTCTGTGCAGTTCTGCCATGTGTGGTTTCGGTATCCACCACAACAGTGAAGAATCTGAATGGCTCCAACACCACAGGATCCCACAAGTCACTCTTGTAACCACATCCATCCCACCTCACCCATCCCTAACCCCTGGCAACCACTAATCTGATCTTCATTTCTAAGATCTTGTCATTGCAACATGTCATTTAAATAGAACAATAATACAGAATATAACTGTTTTTTATTTGTTTCGTTTTCTGCTACCCACTGAACTACATCTCCAGTCCTTTTGTTTGTTTTGAGAAAGGATCCTGCTAGGTTGCTGAGATTCTCCCTAAATTGCTGAGACTGGCCTCCAACTTGTGATCTTTCTTCCTCAGCCTTCCCAGTTGCTGGGATTACAAGTGTGGGCCTGAACTGCACAGAACCAGCAACATTTTGAGATTGGCTTGTGTGTGTGTGTGTGTGTGTGTGTGGTCCTGGGGATTGGACCCAAGATGTTCCACAAGCCAGGCAAGCACTCTACCACTGAACTATACCCCAAGCCCTTTTTAATTTTTATTTTGAGATAGCATCAAGGCTGGCCTCAAATTTCCAGTCCTCCTGCCTCAGCCTCTCAAACAACTCCGAATTACAGGAGTGTACCACTGCATCTAGCTATTTTTTAAAAAATACTTTTTAGTTGTAGTTGAACACAGCATCTTTATTTTATTTATTTGTGTTTAAATAAATAAATGTGCAAGGCAAATGCTCGGCCGCTGAGCCACAGCCCCAGCCCCTAGCTATTTTTCATTCAGTACAATTTCCTGGAGATTTATCAAAGTTATTATCAATACTTTGTTTCTTTTATTGTTGAGTAGTAGTCCATGGTATGCATGTACTACAGCTTATTTAGCCATTCATCTGTTAATGAACATCTGAAATAATTACCATTTGGGGTTATGACAAATAAAGTTCCTATAAACATTTATGTACAGGGCTTTATGTGTGTGTGGACATAAGTTTCAGTTTCTGGGATAAATGCCCAGCGGTGTATCCTGGCATGGTAAGGCGTACCGTGGTTTGGCTAACCATCCACCTGTCGAAGGACATCTGGGTTGCTTCCAGCTTGGGCTATTATAAATGAAGCTGCTGTAAACATTTGTGCATAAATTTTTTCCCACATCGTACTGAGGATTAAACCCAGGGACTCTCTGCCACTGAGCTATATCTGCATCCCCCCCCCTTTTTTTTCTTATTGGCACCAGGATTGAACCCAGGGGTGCTTAACCACTGAGGCACATCCTCAGCCCTTTTGTTTAATTCTGAGAGATGAGCTGGGAATGTGGCTCAGTGGTACAGTGCTTGCCTGGCATACATGAAGCCCTGGGTTTAAAAAAAAAAAAATGAGAGAGAGAGTCTCACTAAATTGGCATACATGAACCCTTAGCACTGCAAAAAAAAAAAAAGTAAATGAGACCGAGTCTCACTAAGTTGCTGAGGACCTTGCTAAGCTGCTGGACCTCAAATTTTCAATCCTCCTGCCTCAGCCTCTGGAGTATCTGGGATTAAGGCACGTACCACCATGCCTGACCGCCCCAGCCCTTTTAAATTTATTTTAGAGGCAGGATCTTGCCAAGTTGCCCAAGTTGGCCTTGAACTTGTGGTACTCCTGCCTCAGTCTCATGAGTAGCAAGGATTAACAGGAGTGTCCCACCTGACCTGGTTGGTCATGATTTTAATTTGCATTTCCCTAAGGAATGATAATGTTGAACATCTTTTCATGTATTTTTTTGCCATCTGTACATCCTCTTTGGTGAAGTGACTGTTCATGATTTTTAAAAAATTATTTATTTATTTGTTTGTATGTGGTGCTGAGGATTGAACATGCAAGGCAAGCCCTTGTATGTGGCCCTCTACCACTGAACCACAACCCCAGCCCCTGCTCATGATTTTTGCTCACTTCTGTTGGAATTTTTAAAAAATATTTGGGGTTTTTTTTTTGTTTTTTTTTTTTTTTAGTTGTTGGTGGACCAATAACCTTTTATTTTGATGTGATGCCGAGGATCAAACCGAGTGCCTCACACAAGCTAGGCAAGCGCTCTACGACCCGCCCTGTCACCGGGTGCAGACCCGTGTCCCAGCCTACTGCCTCGCAGCACCAAGACGGTTCAGGAATGGCTCATCACAAACCCAGCCTCCTCCATCTTCACGGAAGAACCTTGTCTCCCCCTGAGTTTCCTTCTCCTTCCTTCCTCCGGCTCCTGCTCTTCGTCTTTCTTCAAGTCTGTGCTTTGCTTCAGTTGCTGCATCCACGTCTCTGTTTTTTAAACCGAAAGTGACATCCTTCCAAAGGCAGCGGGACTCATATTCATTCTGATCTTCCAACTTCCTCACTTTCTTCTCGATTACAGGCAACTTCTTGGTATCTACAAAGACCGCATTTCCTCGGTTGCGTATTTTGCATACATGACACTGTTCCATTCCCCCTTCCAATTGAGCAAAAAGACTTCTTGTCATTTGGAGAAAAAAAATCTCAGCAGTAATTCTGTGTTTCTTACCTCCATAGAAAGGTTTGGTGTGGACGACGATATTTGCACTATAGCCAGTTTGGGAACAATTAATATTGCATCTCCTCCTAGTTCCACGCAGGGCACTGTGAGCGTAGACCTTCCTTAACCATTGGAGAATGTGAGAATGTAATGCTCATCATAGTCTAGCCATGAGACCCAGCCTCGCCCTATGTTGTGCACCCCAGTGGACACCCCAAGGAATGTTGATTTAGTCCAGATCTGAGCATTGAGTTGGATTTTCTTGTTAAAACATTCAGCATAAAAGGCTGAAAAGGGTGGATGATGGAAACCTGCACAGCCGCGGATGTTACACTGCTTTTGGAAACCCAGGGAACGGGTCCTTCTGAAACTAGCTCCGTGTTCTCTTCAGTGTCATTTGGTAATGTCCAGTGACACTGAAAGATCTCACCCAAAATGGGGTTGTATGGCTTTTTGGCAACCGATCCTTTCCTTCCTGCATGAAAGGTGGAGAGGTACCATTTCACAACCTGAACTGTTCGATCCCTGGGATCTTTCTGGTCACGAATGCTCACCACCAGGTCCGGATGTGCAAAAGAGTCTGCGTACATTTCTAAAAGAGATCTTCTTTCAAGAATAAATGATGGAAGAACTACCTGAGGAAGATCCATTCGGAGCCTAACCTGTGACGAGAGGTGCATGATAACACTGACCCTGCTGCCTCCCCGTCACCGTCTCTATCGTCCTGTGAATCAAAAAGATCAGCACCACTTGTACCATTGGACATGAAGAATTCAGTGATTCTGTGGTATCTGGGGCTGTAGACTATTTCCCGAACTGCTGTGTGTCAAGACGGAGGCAGAACCAGAAGAATCTATTAAGCACTTTGGGGATGAGCCACCCCATGGAATCCATCGGCCTCATAGAATTCCTCTTCACTGCTAGAGTAAGAGAACTCTGGGACTGTGTTTGGAGACAAGGTGACATGACTTGGAGAAGTCAGACTGCTACTAGGTGGTGAATGCCCACTGCCTGTGCTATCTGGTGTTGGAGTCTGATGATGTCCCAAGGTAGCTAACCCAGGTCCCACGGGTAAGGAAGACGGACGCTGAGCTGGTTCTGGAGGTAAGACAGTCTGGGATGGCACCGTGCTGCTACAGGTTCCCAGGAACTGGGTTGACATATTGCATCCACAGGATTAACAGCACTGATAATTCCATCTGCGTGCTTCTCGGCATTACCCTGGTCTTTAGCAATCTGCAGTAACACAATGCAGTGTTTAATAGACTCTGCCTTGCTCTTTGTTGTTTCTTTGAGAGTTTCAATTTTCTTTCTCTGTTCATCATCTTTACAGTTTTGAAGCTTGTCATCTAAAAGCGTTAGTTGTTCTATCAAGATTTGTAGGTCAGCATCTGCCTCTGTTAGTTTCTTGTCAAAGTCTTGGACACAAGGAACAAATCCTGAATCCAAACCCCCAAAGGGTCTACTCACTCCGCAAGTGGCCAGCAAGAAAGCCATTTGCCGAGGCCCCTCAGTGCCTCCGGGGGCAGGAGCGGGGGCTGCTCCAGCACACCCTTCTTCTACTCCTGGATCAGATCCTGAGAGTTAAGTTCTAAGAGATTTTTATCTACTGTGATAATAGTCCCTTGCCCTGTGATTTGCAAACATTATCTACAAATCTTTATCTCCTTGTTTTGTTTTGTTTTTCTTTGTACCAGGGGTTTAACCCAGGGGCACTTAACCACTAAGCCGCATCCCCAGCCCTTTATTATATATCATGTAGAGACAGGGCCTTGCTGAGTTGTTAGGGTCTTGCTAAATTGCTGAGGCTGGCTTTGACCTCGAGATCCTCCTGCCTCAGCCTCCAGAGCCGCTGGGATTACAGGTGTGCCCCACCACGCCCAGCTTTATCTGGTCTTTTAATCATTTTAACAGGGTCTCTCATTGAACAGAAGATTTCAATTTGAAATAAAAGGTTTTAATTTGAAAATGTCTTTAATTTTTTTTTAATATTTATTTTTTAGTTATCGGCAGACACAACATCTCTGTTTTGTATGTGGTGCTGAGGATCGAACCTGGGCCGCACGCATGCCAGGCGAGCACGCTACCGCTTGAGCCACATCCCCAGCCCAGTCTTTAATTTTTATCTGAGGTTCAATTCATCTGTTTTCCCCTCATGGATC